AACTCCAAAACCATGCCAGAAAATCCCCAAAACCCTAGAGACTGGGGATTAAAACATGAAGAAAGTGCAAGAAATGCATATATGCATATTCAAAATCATGTTCACTACAAACTGAAACTTAAGAACCATGGATTCATTATTTGCAAAGTTAAGCCATTTTTAGGTGCAAGTGTAGACAATGTCAGAAGTTGTGAATGTGTGATTGCAAGGAAGTTGTTGTGGAATATAAATTCCCATGGACACACCGACTCAGTGATGCCAAAGAGGCATTTCTTAGTCCAGAAATTGGGGGTATGCAAGTTGCAGGACATTTTCAGTTGAAAACGACCTCCAAGTACTATCACCAAGTGCAGATGCAAATGTTTGTGCTGTGCCTTTTGTCATGTGACTTTGTTATTTGGACTACAAAGGGTATCTTGACAGTTGAAATAGCATATAATGTTGGATTTATGAATGCCATTCTACTTAAATTGGAGAAATTTTGGATATCCCAAATTGCAACACTGCTGATAGCACAAGTGTCTCGCAACATGCCTGTGCAAAACCAAGGTAATATTATCATATATTTATGTGCTACATATATCACTGCACAACAGAATTAACCCTTTTATTGACAATGCACCCTGTGCTCTCACATGCCCTACTTTATTATTTTACTCTGTCTAACACAATAATTTTACTCATCAGGGAGAGAGTGCTGCCACTCATTGGGTTAACTTTGATTTGAAATCTTTTTTGTTTGAGCTAAAATTCATGAAAAAAGTGTTGATAAGGATGATTAGCAAACATTACAATCTGTGAAAACAGCATGCATGGTATGTTATGAATAAAAAATTCTGTTTTGTAAAATACATATATTAAATAATAATACATCTTTGTTACAGTAGAGCAGAATTGATTTTTCTCTTTTTGTTTTGTAGCTAGTAAAATTCATGAAAACAGTGCTGACATATTGGCTGCAAATAAGGATAATCAGCAAACATTGCAACCTTTGAAACGCAGCATGCATGGTAGGTTATGATTAACCCGTTGAGCCACAATGTGCCCCCAGTGCTACCCTACTTATTTGTTTTACTTGCCAGAGGATTTTACTCTTCAATGGGGAAGCCATACAGCTTAATCAGCATCAAACATTGGTGACTGGCTTTTATAAAATACATAGGATATGCACAGTAAATAATGCTGCTTAGTATGAATTATGAAGTACTGACCCGTTTTCTTTTGAAAGCTTCCAAGAAAAAAACTTTTTTTCAGCAAAATTGCTCTGTTCCAGAAATCAGTTAACAATGTATAGGTTATCATTTGTTTTACCATGTATTATATTAAATGTCTTGTTCATTTACATTTTATTAGAGAGCAATCAGACACCAGTCACATTGGATGATACACCATGTCAGCATAATAAAGTGGGTTCCACGTTTACTGCCTATGGCATCATCCTGCAGAATTATGACATTGAGACCTTGGCTGAAGGAGAAATGATGAATGACAATATTGTCACTGTTTTGTTCAGGCAAGTTTTCTTATTTGACAACATTAGATCTGCATGCTAGCTTGCAAGGGAAAGTACAAAACATGGACCCCCTCTATGGACCGGGTCCATGGACCCCCTCCCCGGACCGGGTCCACAGACCTGTGATTTCTCAATGGCTCCATCTATGAATGAATATTAACAGGAATTTTGAATACACCTGAATATAAATAACCCTTTACAGGAAGAAAACAAATTTACTTGTAAGGTCAAAATGTTCTATTTATTTGTTCCAAATAACAAATACATGCAGCTAGCTAGTACACAGAACACAAAGGTGTATTAATCGAAGCAAATCAAATTGCTGATTATGGACAGTGCCTTTAGACCACTTTCATAAGAGACGAATTGAAAGTTGAAACACTTTTTTGTATATTGAACCAAGAAGGGTAATTAAGATGCAAAATTAATCAATGAATCTGGTTTATTATTTCAACACTTTGCTGGCAGTGGTTTCTTTAATTTCATAGGCTGTGATCATTGACCGGCTTTGCAAGTCAGTAACACTATTATTATTCACATGGTGCATTGATTTGTCGTGATATGTCGTTAGCAAGCCTCGCTTTAGTATGAAGAAAACACTGGAGTGTGGATGATGTTTGCTGCTAAGAATGAAAGTATGCTTTAAAACCACTAAAATATTTTTAAAAATTGAAAACTCGAATCATGTTTAACAGTAATATTGAAATTTGGAAAAAT